TAGGAAGGAAGAAGAAGGAAGATAAGGAATGGATCTCGACGGACACATGGAAGCTGACAGAGAAGAGGAGGATGGTGAAACAGAAGATGAACCAGTGCAGTGCAAGGATGCACAACGACAAGAGGAACTGAGTACAATGTATAAAACACTACACTGTACAAAGAAGTGGAGAGGAGTGCGTGCAAAGACAAAAGACACTTTCACGACACACTTGCAAATGAAGCAGAACAAACTGAGGACTGGTAGGAGAGACCTAACAACATTGTATCAAACAACCAGGTTACTATCTGGGAGGGAAGAGATCAACACAGATGAAACCAATAAAAGATGATGACAGAAATCTAATTACCAAAGAAGAGAAACAAAGGAAATGATTGGCCGACCACTTCGAAAAGCTCTTGAATCGACCACTACCTGCAGCCCAGCCACAGAACTACAAGTGAACATAAATCCTCCAACAAAAGTGGAAGTCCTGAGCGTCATAAAGCTACTGAGATGTGGGAAAGCAGGATGACCAGATGGGATCCCGCCAGAAGCACTGAAAGCAGACGCAGAGACAACAACGGACATGCTCACACCACACCACTATTGCAGAAGGTGTGGAAGGAAGTAAAGGTACCTGGAAACTGGAAGAAGGGTTACCTTGTCAAACCACCGAAGAAGGGAGACCTCAGTGTTTGCAAGAACTGGAGCGGAGTCACACTCCTGTCCACCCAGAGCAAGCAAAATATTAAACCGTATCATCCTAGAGAGACTAAACGATGCACTGGATTCAAAACTACTACCGGAACAGGCTGGCTACCTTCACCAAGTACAAATCATGTGCAGACCAAATTGCAACGCAACGCTTCGCATCATCATAGAACAGAGTATAGAATGGCAGTCAACTCTCCACCTTACCTCAACTTCATCGACTTCGAAAAGGCCCTTGACAGCGTCGACCGAAAAGTAATTTGGCAGGCAGTTGCTTCAACACTACGGAATACCACAAACCTTTATCAACCCCATTCAACAACTATATGAAGACGCATGCCACATGCCAAGTAATTCACAATGGGAAGCTCAGTGATGCTTTTGAAGTGAAGACAGGAGTGAAACAAGGCTGCCTACTATCACCCATGATACTCCTGATTGTAGTGGACTTGATCATGCAACAAACAGTGGGGAGCGAGAACAGGGGAATACGCTGGCTGCACTGCGGAAAATAACCTAGAAGACTTGGATTTCGCCAGTGATGACTTGTGTCTGATGTCACACAAACTTGAAGATCTACAGGCGAAAACTAACAAGTTGACAGAAGAGACAGTGCAGCGAAGACGGGACTTCAAATGAATATAGAGAAGACAGAGGTGATGAAGATACCCAACCAACAACACCACCACCAACAACAGCAACAACAAGCTCCAATCACTATCAATGGGAGAAACTTAAAGGAAGCAGGCTCTTTCACCTATCTAGGCAGCACTGTTTCAACTACATTCGGCACAGGCACAGACGAGGATGTCAAAGTCGGAATCGGAAAAGCAAGACAGGCGTTTATTTGCCTGAAACCAGTGTGGAGGTCTTCTGCACTCAGCATGTGGAACAACATCCGGGTTCTCAACACCGACGTCAAACCAGTGCTTTTGTATGGTTGAGAGACTTGGCGGGTTACGAAAGGCATTTCCAGCAAACCTCAGATATTCATCAACAACTGCCTACACTGGCCCGCTACTGAGGATCAGATGGCCAGAAAGAATAAGCAACAAGGAACTCTGGGAACGAACCAACCAAGAAGCTATCGCTCAACAAATATGCAGAGGAAGGAAGTGGAGATGGATTGGGCACACACTGAGAAGGCCGACTGGGGACATCACGCATCAGGCCCTCAAGTGGGACCCAAATGGGAAGTGACGAGTTGAGTGTCTGAGGTGAGGGTGACATGGAGGAGGTGGTGTGGGGAGGAAATGAGAGCTTGTGGGCTGTTCGTGGAGCCAGGTTCAAAAGATTTCAGAGAACAGAGTTCACTGGAGACGTGCTACTGAAGCCCTATGTTCCATTAAGAACCCGAAGGACAATAATATGTCGCACACAGTGATACAGTACTGTGTACTGGACGAAGTTTTGAACGGAATTTATTGCTCGTAATCGTATCAATTATTCACACACATTTGTTTGAGATCTTTGGTCGAAAACTTCTAAAAAGCTTCTAGATACTCTTAGTCATTTCTCAAAGAAGAATTAGATGTCGTATTCCATAAAGGTCAAGAATGATTTGTATTCAGTTTATCACATATTGAGCTTAAAAAATTGCAAACCAAAGCATTATCTCTTGGCTTGAAATTCCACATTACAAAACCCGTTGGATTGACACTGGAGCGTCTTTTGAATACTTTTACTACCAGCTGTCTGATTAACTGTCAGTGGACGATGAGAAAGAAAGCTGGTTATAATCCAAATTCGTTGATATCGCCAATCAGTACTTGATTTCGTTGTCAATGAAGTCATATTTGCTTTCCTATGAACACAGAAATGATTTGGACTGTCTGCAAGAAAGAGAAAAGATTGACTTATACTGCGACCAAGGAGTGGTGCTTATGAAGAAGAATTTCAGTAAAATGTTTATGGTACTCAGTGATTTGTAGAGATTTGTGCCTGAGAAGATGAAAAAGAACAAAATAATGACACTGGAAAAGAGTCATAGCCTATGTGAAAAACCTACTGAAGAGAAAACTGGTTGACAACCACACCTGAAATCCAGAGACTCACTTCGTTTCACGCATATCGTTTCGAAAAACCACAAAACAGAAGTCTCGCTTGACCCATATTTTCAATGGTAAACGGTCCATGTCACAAATCAGCTCGATGGCTAGCAGAGAAACTTTCTGCGGCAAGCTGTCCATATGTAATGTGATGAAAGACACTTCTTAGCTGATCGAAAAGCTGGAAAACATATTTCCTTATATCTTTCGATATTCTTTGTCTATTCACCAGCATTTCGGACGAAAAAGTATTGTGACTGTGTGTAAACAATCTGAACTGCTTTCTTTACTCAAAGAAGACCCCAATCAACTTGTCATTATGTGTATGAAAGATTTCCGGTTCCGATTCAACAACGAATTATTATCGACAGATTAATGTAGCTGTGGGAAACCCATTTCGCTCACTATTTGGTGATATATTCATGTAAGATCTAGAGGCAAATGCAATGAAACCAGCTATCGGCGATAGTGTTATTACACGAGATATGCATACGACAAATTTATGATCTCTTCAAAGGTATGAATCGTGCAGCAGAACTGTTTCAGTTGAAAAATGCACACCCTAGCATTAGTTTTACAATGAACTTTGAGCATAAAAATCACCTCAACTTTATTGATCTATTGATTAAAAGTTGCGATAATGGTATAATTGAGCAAAGTATCTACCGTAAATATACATGGACTGTACAGTATCGAAAGTACAACAGCTTTTGCTGAGTGAATTACAAACGTGGACTAGTTAGAACGTTGCTCAACAGAGTTAGAGACCTTTGCTCAGAAGATAAACTAAACGATAAGTTAGTCCTCCTTGGGCTGCATCTGTTGGATAATAGTCATCTGAAAAGTTTTATTCGGCAGTACTCAAAATTGCATGTTGAGGTTTTTATTCATTTGGAATATAAACAAGATGATGTTTCAGAAAAGATAGGCAGATGATTGCGGGCCTCTCTTGTTAGAATATATCCAGTGGTGGAACTGGTTCCTTTACATTGTGCTAGTCGGGCTATCTATCAGTCCAAAGTGGAGATGTACCTATCCAACGTCGCCTCCGACCGTATTTTTGAATTTCTTTCGTAGTTGTTAAAGCAAGTACATAGTAAAGATAGAAAGATGGTTCTGTGTTCGTTCTTCTGATTATGTTGCAAAGAGCCTGTGACTGAACGGTTCGAAATCGCTCATAGGTTTAATCATACACCATTTAGTCGATGCAAGACAGTGTGGATGTACCTGCCGTCTTTAAAGTAATAATAAATCGACAAAGAAACTATTTCGCTTTTTTTTGCAGAACTAATAGCAATGAAGCGCTTTCAATTTCACCTTTTTGTTCAGAAAGAGACAATAAATAACCTAGTATTATTTTGGTAACTATGTGGTTTTCTTTAATGTTTTCCTCTTCATCCCTTTAGTTTTAACTAGCTGCTTTGTATATCTAGACTAGATAACATGAAACTGGTTGCTCTCCCAATCAATGCATACAACCCAGTCCTACAGGAGGTCAATCGTGATCCAAATAGCTCAGTGGTAAAATGGCTGACTACAACACTAGGTGACGCGGGTTCGAATTTCAGGCGGGGCATAAGTTCCGTTGAGGCTGCAGATAGGCCGTGCTGACGAGTTCCAACAAGCGCGAAACCTAGGTCCAGGGCTTCCTGCCGATCGCCTGCAACCCACTAACATCTATATATCTTCGTTTGTGTGTAATAAGTATCTTATTATTTTATATTATTCTGACAGTGACTACTTCATCATTATTACTGTTCCTCACACCCATTGTTAAGACTCCAGAATCTTCCTTCCAATTACCTATAAATAAACAAGCTTTATCACCATTATTCTCATTGCTCACTGAGTTAACTGGGTTTTGTCTCTTGGATCTGTGTTCGCTAGTGTACATGCTTACTTTGTTCTAGCTTGAAAGCATGTTTATCATTTTATCCCACACTACTCCTTCATTTATTCTAGGCTGTTTGCAACTAAAGAGAAGTCACGAAATAGACATGAGCTCAACAGATTCTGCAAATCTTGTTCTTGTTGCTTTGATGAAAATAATCAGGGGGAACCCGTTGTATGAGTTCAATTCTGTAATCCAATATCTCTTCTTAATTCTTTGATTTTAAAATGAAATTATCAAAATTCAGAAATACCACATGAATGAATGACTAGAAAACTCCAGTTTTTTTTCTTCTAAAAATCGATCTAAAATTAATTATTGAATTATTTACAATGGTATTTTTGTTCATTTCTTGTATTTACTAACAGTTCACATATTCCTATCATGTACATTGGCATTGAATACAGTGCTAGTAATAATCGTAATCTAGCTGAACGATTTTTGAATCAAGCCTACCTACTTAGTCCAAGTGATCCGTTTGTTCTGCATGAATTAGGCACATTGGCGTTTGAGTCACAAAAGTAAGTTGGATTTTTATGTGTAAATTTATTAAAGTTTTGATATTTTTTTTAATCGCTATGGCGATAGCAGTTTAATTCATGTATATTTTTTCTGCATATAATTGCTTTTCATAAGAATGTATAGTTCAGAGTAAACTCAACATTAGACACAATATACAAAGTAGACAATATGAATTTGTATTGGTGTCAGGGTTGTTGAAATAAACTAATTCCAACGTCTTTCCAGCTATTCTGATCTCAGCTTTTTCAATCAAATGTTTCAACATGATTCTTGGTTATTTAATGTGTGAAGCTGCACACAGTATCTAAAGTTAGTTATTTGTGTATGTATTATTTTTCCTTCTCTACCATGTCCTACAATGGATTGATAAAAAAATACAAGTTATAAGTATCGTATTAGTCCATTGTATAAGGAATATTTACTTTTGGAGTGACTTTAATGACCACCCTAGCAACTGCTGAAAGAAACAGTTATTTTATTTTGTGCAAAACTACCATCCCAGACGAAATACCGTAAAGTGATTGGTTATTTTAGCATTTGCTAGGGTGACCTGTAAAGTCAACTTTCGACATAACACTTATCAATAGAAAAACATGGCAGCGAATAGGTCGACGAAGAACCCACCCAACTACTCAGATCGCTCTCAGTGATCAGGTGATCAGCTACATTGTACTATTGTGCATGGCTGTGACGTCTAGTGCACCTGACAGATCGACCACCTTTAGATCTTCTTGGTTAAGATTAGATAGAGAAACTGAAGCCGTTCGAAAAGCCACTAAACCTTATCTCCAACCAAACTCAAGTCATGAAACAACCGAAATCTATCATGCCATCACATCCACCTAAAACTAACAGGTGCGTTACGACTGAGATATTCTCTGATGGCCTGGGACAATGCACAAAATTCAAAGCTGTCCTCACGCTCCATCCAGAAGTCAATTCTGTGTCTTAGCCAAAAAGGCCAGTACCATATGCAACCTTACCTATCCTTGAGCAGGAACTCGAACGTCGTGCGTCATTAAATGTAATTGAGCCTGTAGATTTTTCGTCATTGGCAGCTCCAGTTGTTACTGTGAAGAAAGTAAATAGCACTGTAAGCCTGTGTGCAGACTACTTACTGTACAGGACTGGATGCCACTCTTGAAGATCATCAGTATCCATTCCCAGTACCCGAGGATCTATTTACAAAACTGAATGGTGGTAGGGTTTTGCAAAGTTGAGCTTGTTTGAAGCATATTTACAAATTCAGATAGTAGAGGAATGCAATGAACTTCTGTCTATCAATACCTGTTAATACCTATTTACATATTTTCGTCTTTCTTTCGGTGTAAAAACAGCCCCAGCAATTTTCTAACAAGTAATGGATTCGATGCTGCATGATATACCTGGTTCAGCAGCGTACTTAGATGACATAATCATCATAGGGAATGGCAAAGAGGATTTAATGCACAAACTTGACCTAGCTTTGGAGCGCATCGTGGTATATTTACTTCAACCTAGTAGTATGATTATACCTGAAAGTTCAGTCGTTTGTATACTTTTTAAGGGCCTTGACCAGGGAAAACAGAACAGCATATCAAATGTAAAATGAACTAAACTGCGGCAATAATAAGTAAAATTGCATCGAGCGAAAAAGGCACTGAATAAGGTTTCAATTTTATAATGAGAATATACATAAATTAAAAGTTTTAGAAAGTTTTTAGAAATCAGACACCCCTAAGACCTTCCTTTTTTCTAAAAGATATAGGTTTGTTACTCAGGATCCACCTGGAACCGAACTGTCCGTTTTCTGAGTCGATCTGGCCAACATCGGGATAGTAGTTCTTTTTTTATTGGAGGTCCTGTGGTTTTCTAGACATCTTCAGTGGATTGTATGGTGAACGTATCCAGTAGAGTTTCTAGTGGGATGTCGTTGGGTTTTTTTTCTTCGAATGGCTGTGCTCGGTATCGTAGTTGATTTTTATATCTCGTCCAAGTTTCTGTTCCCACTGCAAAACCATATAACACAATCACGTCTGGCGATAATTACACCTATCCACTCTTTATGTCATGATCTGTAGTTTCTGGCGAATACTGGTGTTTTTTTTCTCGAAATAATTTTGACAAGATGATAACTTTTCTGGTCGATCTGTCGGAATTAGAGCATCATGAGCTGTACGTAACTTCCTCCTTATCAGTGCTTCTCATGACTCGGGAGTGAGTTGGTTTCTATTGTTCGATATGTAAGCAGAAAATTTCGAATTATGTTCAGTGGTGTAACTTCCCCCCTTGCTTTACGTAAAACCCTTTTGAATGCATTGAAGAACCGCTCCTCTTGTCCAATCGACTGAGGGTGGTATGGTGGATATAGTACGTGTTGTATGGCATGCCGAATAAAATCTTTAGACTGTATAAAGGTAAACTGGGGGCCATTGTCCGAGATGATAGTTTCTGGGAGGCCCTGACAGCATAAGATATTGGAGATGGCTTTAAATATTCTTATGACATTCGGGGGATTCACAAGTGCGACTTCTTGCCATTGCGAGGTAATGGTTTCCACCAGTGGGCCTGGCGAAATTAACATGAATTCTCGACCATGGGCATTCGGGATCTGACCAGGGAATTGGTGGTGGTTGTGGAGGATGCATGGTGACTTGTTGACATTCTATGAACCAGCTGACATAATCAGTAATCTGCTAGTCTATCCGTGGCCAATACGCGTAGCTGTGAGCGGTCCACTTCATGCGCTCGATACCAGGGTGATCCGAATGAGATTGACTTAAGATTCGGTCACCAAGAGAAGTAGGCACTACGAATTGGTTTCCAAACATGAAGCAATCGTTAAAGATACACAGGGAGTTTCAGCGGTAATGCATTTGTTGTAGACCACCTGTGAACGTTTCTTTTGGCCTTCCGGCGAGAACAAACTGGATTGTATGCTGTAAAGTTTTGTCCTTGCGTGTAACCATCTGGACGTCGTGTGCTGTGACTGGAAGCCCTCTAATAGCTGCAATTAAGTCAAAAGCTGCAAAATCTTCTGTTTACCGTAGGATAGTCGCTTATAAGATGAAACAAGGCATCGGCTTGGCGCAACTCTTGAAAGCGTGTATACTGAGTCTCGAAATCATATCCACTTGAGGTTAGGGCCCACCGTTGGAGACGATTTGCAAAATGGACTGAAATACCAGATTTAGATCCAAAAATAGCCAGCAGTGGTTCATGATCTGCAAGCAGCGTAAATTTGCGGCCATAGACAAGTTTGCGAAAACGACGGACAGCAAAGACAATGATCTCAATTCGACTATATTTCCGCTCTGCGATAGACAACTTTTGGGGTCCGCGTATGATGGCCCTTTCTTTTCCACTTGGGTGGACGTGAAGAATTGCAGCCCCGACTCCATGAGATTAGTCATCTGAGGCTATGTGGGTTGACAACTGTGCATTGTAGTGGGTCAGCAAAAGTCCGAATGGTAACATAGGCTTCAGGTAATAGAAGACTGCTGTACATTCTTTGGTCCACTGTCAAGGAACATCTACACATAAGTGACTTAATAGGATCACAGTGTGCGTTGAAGGTAGGAATGCTGAGTAATAAGTAATAAATCCAAAAAAATGATCATAGGGAAGGGACATCACCCGGTTCTGGCATTTGTCATGTGGCGCGAATGTTTTCGGGGTTTGGTCGACGACCGGCAGCATCAAAAATAGATCTCAGATAATTGAGTGGATGTAGGTAAAACTGACATTTTTCAGGACAAAGCGGGAAACTGTTATCTCCTATTCGTTTAAATACCTGGTCCAGTCGGTTCTGTAGCTGTTCTGGGGAGCTTACGGATATGAGAATGTCATTCAGATATGTGGCCACTCCTGGTATACCAGGTAATATGGTATCTGTTATGCGTTGAAAAGTTACTGGTGCTGTTTTAATTCCAAATGCGAGGTGGTGGTACCGGTATAGTTCACGATGTGTGTTAATAATTAGTACTTCTCGACATTCTTGTGCCATCTGGATTTGTAGATATGCGTCACCCAGGTCAATTTAGGCGAAACAGGTACCACCGTTGAGAACAGTAAAAATGTCATCCCGTGCAAAGAGTGGATAGAAATGCTATTCTAGTGCTGCATTAAGTGCAGTAGCAAAGTATGCACATATGTGGATAGTCTCACGACCTCCACTACTTCTTACAGATCCATCCAGTCTAATACCACATAGATGGCTGTTTACTGGTATCCATTCGAGAAGCGCACTTTCTGCCTTACAACCCAAAAATATGCTTTCACCAGCGAGTCCACAAGAGACAGCCACTGGACTTCCGAATACTCCCAATGTGAATTTTGAAGATACTGCAATGGTCAGGTGCGGTCAATTTAATAATCGCATTCGGATCCTGTAATGTGTCTCAGATACACAGCATACACCCATGGCTAGAGATTCCATAGTTCCGGCGAGCAGTGCTTGCTGTCCGATTTGACAAAAAGTTTAGCTGTTGAAAGCTCCTACATGAAATCGATGGTGGGCGGGGTCTCGGAAGACTAGGAATGAGATTTCTATGGCCTTGACCATTGGCAATGGTTGCAGAGATAGAGGTTGGGGAAGGCGTAAGGGGCTTAATATTGGTGTCAGCAGGTGAAGGAGAAGGAGGAGATAGAGTTAAGGAGAATAGGTTATGCTTGACTGAGTCGTATGTATTGCTAGGACCGTGCGGACGGTTGACACTTCCCAGCTGCCTACACCGTGAAAAGCTACTTCTTTAGGAAACTGAAAGAGAAAAAGATTCTTATGACTACAAAGCCCAAGGGACATCTGCTTGACGTCTATCACGCACAGCCTTTTGAGGATTATTGTCGGGAGATTTGGTTGTTGTAGCACAGGAAGACCGTGGGGCAAGGTGGAGTGCGTTATTTTTGGATCCGACCTTTTCTAACTCCATTCTTCCCATAGGGAAAGCAGCATCAACGTGGCACTATTGGTCATCCAAGGGAAACATCTTCCTGCAGTCATACCCCGACTAGCAGTGCAACTTCACCCCTAGACCCCCATCATCATGTAGCTTATACACCACAACGGTAACTGCCTTTCGTCTCACCACTATTCAACAGATCTTCCTGGCATGGTACGACCTCGAGAGAACAAGCGTTCTAGCCGGTGTAGCTCGTTAAGTCATTGTGATAAACAAGCCCTACTACCACATCAAGGCAGAAGCTACCGATCAGGTGGCCTCCAAAGTCAGTCCTACGACAAAATCATTATTGGTGCGTTCATATAAAAAGCATCACAACCTATACGTATGCTCACTGTTTTACTATTGTTGATCTCCAATGCCCATCTACTGGAACATTTCACTAATATGGTTTGTCTTTCCTAAAGGAACAAGCTGTCCTCATCTCCGCCCATACCTCTTCATAGTGTAACATTATTTGGAAATAAGAAACAATGACTGGACTCCATTGACATGGAGTTGGAAGTGGTACTATCTTATAGTTACTTAGTTCGGGGTTTATAGGGATTATATTTCTATGGCTGTATTCACCACAGACTGACATCAGTTAGAGAACCACTTAAAATCTGGGAGCACTACACAGCTGTTTCATCTTAAAATGGGACTACTGAGGAATCCCATACACCAGTGGTTTTCCAACTGATGTCAGTCCGTGATGAATACAACCTAATACTTATTTCTTTATGCCCTCTATCTATCCATTAATTATTGTTTCCATGTCTTATCATTCTGAATAAATAGTTGTTCAGTTGTAAAATATGTTAACCACTTTTCAACCTAAGTAACTTTCCTAAACATTTGTGATTCATTGTGTTTTGGACTCACCATCTATGTATATAAACCATGGTTGGTGGATAAAAGCTGAACAAACAAGAAACTGGTAGAGGGATCGCCAATTTCTTATCCTGCATTCACTTCAGTCGATGACTTAGACGTAAGAAGTTGAAGTCAAGTGTAGGTTATATATATTGTCGGCCATTAATGCACGGTGACTTTTCCCACTTCTTTTATGAAGTAAAAAGAAAAACTGGGAAGGTAAATGTGATTGACTGTTTTCTGTGTTTAAAATAAAAGTGTTCATCGAGCGAGGAAATATTTTTATTGAACTAAAAATGTAATTCACTGTAAATTCCCAGCTGGATGTGGATAAGCAATCTGTGAGTAGATTATCATTAAAATTCAGGATTATTTGTCATATAAAATTATTTTTGGAAAGAAGAATCAGCTACCCGGTTAAAAATAGATTTGAAAAAACTATGTAGAGTTAATAAGGATTTTCATTTTTTTTGGTGACAACACCATCTAGTATTTCGTGAGGTGTGAGAGAAATAGTTTTAAGTGAAATTCATAGTTAATTGCATATGAAGTTTACTGAATTAGTCATATCTTTGCAGAAATAAACTACTGGTTATTATTTTACGGATAATGATGGAAAGAAACTGTTTACTCAGTTGTGAACCACGTTAAGGTGTTCATATCTTCTAAGAATTGCGTAAATGATCTAGCTGTCTGAGCTGTTCTAGTCTACAAACACCTATGATGAATTCGATCTGAAATGGCCGAAACGACCATTTAGTGTTTATATCACTCCAATCTATCTAGCCAACACCTTTGATATGTATGGGCGCTGAAAAGCTAATTATATCATATCGCAGAATTTATCCAATAAGCTACCGCCAAAATGGATCACCATTTAATTCCATTTTAAAAGCAAATACTTATTGTCTCACCTAATTTAGTCAAACTTGAGGTCACAACCTACTATTGCTATATATATATATATATATATATATATATATATATATATATATATATATATATATATATATATATATATATATATATATATATATATATATATATATATGAGAGAGACAACATAACAAGACACCTGGTAGTGTTTTAACCTGTGGTGGTGCTGTATAACGGTGTCAACTGTACTTGACCCCACTTTTCAAGCTACAATTAATGTTTTACATTACTCTAAATTTCTATTACTTTATTCTTGTCTATTCCCTTCACTTTATCATTTTATAATCCTTGGGAATCTATAATAGTGAATTCCGCTGATGTCAACACTCATCTCTATATCTGCAGTCTTGAAAACAGTTTAAAATCAGCGCTTATCTTTTATCTTTGCGACAGAGTAAGCTTGGTTGTCAAATTCTGAATTGGATTGAGACTAAGGCTTATCGATCAAAATATGCTTACCATTAAAGTCTTGTAGATCAGGTGAGGCATCTCGTTGTAATCTTTTCACATCTCATGTATTATTTCAAATGTAACCATGTTGAAATAAATGCTATATCTCTAGATTTTTGGCGGATATTAGAACTTGATATCACCGCGTAACGGTCTAAGTTGCCATGCTTCACCTCAACACACAAGACGAAGAAATAGATGTCATATAATCAAAGGTTGTTTAAAGCTATATAACTGAAAGAAAACTGTTTAACGCAAACAATAAAATATTTGATGGAAGGATATATCTGTCCACCCGATCCCTTACCTCAAAATGCTTAGATGAGAATTTTCAGTGTCCTAAGTTAACAAAATTTGAAATGATGTTAAAGCTTAGGTTTGAATGAATCTGTACCAGTGTGTAATGCACACTGAAATGTCATATGGAGTCTCCAAATGTTTCTTTCAACTGTTAGATGAATCCTTTCCGAACAGCTTGCATTCCCCAATACATTTTTTAAAACTGAAGCTGGACCTAAATTTATCGAGAACTTTTATTGGCTAGTATCAATTCTCTGTGTAACCATGTTTATCTATGAAACGTTTTTTGAACTACACTTTTAACTGAAAATTGTGTTAAAGATTTCGAAGTGAATGAACAATATTAAAAGTTTACTAGTTAGCTGATTACAATTAAATTCATTGAGGTTTCTTTCTATTTAATTTTTCAAAAAACCTGACCAACTTCTAGATACGTAGATGCTACAAGATTTCTCGTTCGGGCTTATGAGAGAGCTTGTGAATTAAGCGGACAAGTCCCATCACCGTTTTGGGAGCCCTTAGTCAATAATCTGGCACATTCTTACAGAAAAATGGGGTGAGTTTAATCAATCATTTGTTTATCATTTTGTTGAAGTTCATTTTATTTGTACTGGTTTATTTTTATAAATAGTTCTTTTTTTTGTGTATTGAAATCCTTTAAAGTAAGTATTCAATACAGTTTTTTAAAGATATTTACCGAAATAGACATTATACTACTTGTAAAAATTTTTATGACTTCAGTACTTATAAGATCTATGCGTGGGAGGATATAATACGCACGCTTGATTGACAGCTACTTCGTATGCAAGATTCACCAACTCCAACCCGGACGAAATAGAGAAGGCTAAACTGGATGGGAAAATTTATTCCTTCGAGGACAGTAATCAATTAATCCAAAAACATGTATGTATACACATAACATATGGCATTGTCCAGAATTTGAAACATTAACATTTAAGAGTAAACATGAACCAGTCAGTGTATTTTTTCAGAACAGGTACCAAAATGAACTAGTGGTCATGCTGTAAAATATGGCGTGAAATTGATAATTAAAAATGTTTAGATTAGTGTTTTACGCAAATCTGGGGCTTCCCAGCAGTTATGCAGCAGTTGAAAATATGCATATCTCTTTAAGCACGTCTATTCACCTATATATATATATATATATATATATATATATATATATATATATATATATATATATATATATATATATATATATATATATATATCATAGTAATCGTTAACATGCAGTACAAGTAGGAAAAACACGCCATACTTCTATGCAAAAACTATCCTGCTAATTACAGAATATTTACCATTTTATTAACTGACAACTAACTATAGGGTTACTTAAGTAAGCGAAGTGAAGGTTAACCTTGCTGCAAGTTTAAGAGACCAGGGACGCAAATTTATCAAGTTCTGCAATGCACCTCTTTTATCATATGATGTAAAGAAATTCGAGGTTGAAAATTACTCCAATATGAATTTTTTTCGATCATCCCTTTTCGTAAGTGAAAGGAATTATTTTATTCGGAACTTAATTGTGAGGTTTGAGATCCTGTACACATGTGATCACCATCATTTTGACTTTTGGAATTTTCTCAAATAGCGAAAAAAAATGTTATGCTAAGGAAGGAAGGATTTATATACTTTTCATGACTGATGATTAACAGATTGTTCATAGAGGTTTTACTTTTTACGATTTCTCCCACCCTTAAGACTTTTTCGTAAAGATAACCTTTCATACCCTCACACACCTATTGAAGTCTTCGTAACCATGTAACTAGTAACAATGTTGACAAAAATCAAAATTCATTTTCGTTAGTTTTTATTTCAGTCTTCTTTAAAATTGCATCTTAGTGTTGATTGCGATTTATTCAAAATAAAGATTGAGGCCATTTAATGATGATATGACTAAACCTATTCTTTCTAATTAATTGCAGACTTTACAACCAAGCAATAGCTATGCACGAGCTGGCACTTCGTCTAGTACCTGAATCTCCAACAACACTTGCATGTTTGGCAATGGTTCATGCAATTAATGGTAACCTTGAAGTTGCAGTGGATTATCTTCATCGATCTGTTGGAGTGCAGCCAAGTAGTTGTGGTTCCACTTCGAGTAATGTAGCATGTACAATGCTTAATGTATGTATTGAGGCGGTGACTGGAAAAGGAACACATACATCCAGTCAGAAAGTTGGGAAAGGTAAGATAAAAGTTTGTTAGTGTTTTCCTTGTGTTGACATTATTGCAACAGTGGTAAATATTCCAGGTTCACTATTTTTACTGTGAATTTATGTCAACCTGTCAAAAGGCTATCACTGACAATCATAATGGTACTGCGATTCTGACTGAAAACTATAATTTCATTTTTTTGATATGCCTTTTAGAAGAGTGGTTATGGGAGTTGGTTTTCGGTATAATATACTCACCATTTCGATAATCAGAAGTTTTTACTCGCTTTCTTCCTTTATTTTAATTAAGAGATTCTCATTTAGGATAAATGAGTGACCTTTCTTATCCTTTCCTATTTACTTAGATATCCCTGACACTCTCCCGGAACACCATATCACTCCTGCCGGGCCTGGAAGTCTTGCAGGACCTAATCAGATTCGCTTTAAGAAGCCACTAACGGAAACTGCGAAATACTCGAAACCAACAATTCAGCTGGATGTAAATTACCGAACAAAATCTGTTGATGTTCCTAACATATCACTAAACACAAGCGACGAAGATGTGTCTATGGATCTTAGCTAATTAATGTTATTTGTATATTATTGAAATATTACTTTGTAATTAAGTGTGCAACACTACTAAATTTCTGTCAGCGTAGTTACGTTTCCATTTCAAAATTTTTGGGGCGAGGATGATTTTAAAATACCAAAATCGTGGTTTCGTTGGAAAGTAGTTAGATCAAAAGTGATTAGTGTGATGTAATAAGCCAGTCGGTGATTCTATCCTAAAGGTGATTTATAAGGTTTTTCTTGTCAATTTTTCGTATCACCATACTTTGGTCAGAAAGGTTTGAGAAAAACTGGTCTTACCATAATGATACTCATCATTTCTAGTTATCTGGTGTAAATAGTAAAGTTCCCGAAATATAAACAAAACTCAAACAAACCTGCACATCTTTTTGAAAGATGTGATCGATCTCAAATAAATAACTTTCAGACAGGTTAGTTTAGCTTCTCTTTCACCTAATTTAAAGACATATGCCTTCCTAGTGGTGGGAAAGCTCAAATTTTTAGCACAAATACAGTGCCGATGCAGATTAGCATCTATTACTTGATCTTTTCTTTGTTTAATTCCAACTAATATTATCTTGCTAAATATCGTTTCATATACCATGAATATATTCTGTTTTCTTCAATTGGTGACCTAGACTTGCGCTAAAAAATGCATGCATTATGTCTGAGACTCACAGAAAATGCGTGTATTCTTAGTGACTTGAATACACCTAGTCATTGTGATGACTATGCAGTTGATAAGATTAGTAGAAAAAATTTGTAGCTCAGAATGAGGATGACATTTGTTTGGTGTTCTCCGAGCTTCAGTGTCTGTTCCTGTAACGTCTCATCACCAGGCCAGTTAACTGCATGCCATAACCAGCCATTAAGACAGTAATACAATCTTATGTGTATTTTTAATTGGGACAAAATATCAACTACCAGCTCTTACTTTCACATATCCAATGCTGCAAGTTTGTAACTGTTGTTGCTTCTTGAAAACTACTGCTCTATTTTTTTTGGAAGAGTTAGTGCTTTTGTGTTTTTCAACTTTTGCCTTACTACCAAGAATTTAGGATGCTCAACGAAGGAGAGATTAGTATCATTGGCAACAAGGAATGAGTAGATAACAGTTGTTCATTTTACCAGTGAATAGCTGCCCCTAAAGTCAAAATATTTCAAAGGCATTGAATTGTGTTATTCTCACCTCATATATATTTTGAAATGCTTTATTTCGACTGATTTTGTTCGCAACTCTGTCCTTCATGGCACTTCTCTTTTTAAAGATGGTTAGTGTATGGTAACACTGGGATCCGACCACTTGCTTTCTGATAGGGGTGCTGCTTAGTTAGCCTGTGTTATCTCACAGAAAACACTAAGTACAGCAAATAGTCTCGTCATTCCAAAAGTTCCTAAAAAATACTGAGGTCTAGTTGACAATTCATGACATCAGGAATCGAATGTTTCGTTCGCTGCCACTAAAGGCGGATAGGATTATACACGAGTTACTATTGATATTCATTATACTTTCATTGGGTTTGTTTGTGTTAAAGCAGGCACAAGCAGTGACAGACTGACTCATGGTGCCACATTATAAGGAAAGCAAACATCCAGCGCTATAGCCTGATTAGTGTAAATCTACACGGCTGGGAAACCTTAGTTCTAAACCAGTGATAAACATGTACGTCATGATCCAGAAAAAATGAAGGAGGTACACATTTAACTTTCCTACCGGTGACCACGGGAATCCAGCACGTCATAGCTCTGCTGCCTCGTGTATTAGACTGCAAGTCAGAGTTCCAGGTAGTAGTGTTTCAGGACAACCTGATTCGGCTTGTGTCCAAGCAGTGTTACAGCTCACATATAAACTGTCAACCAGCATTACTAGTGGAGTACAGAAAGCACTTACCAAACATTTCTGAGATGTTTTTATCCAGTTACTTAATTAATAGTCTTATTCATCGTTATATTTGCATTTCAACTAAGCTGTCTCTTTGCTATCGTTTTCGAACTTATCACCATTTTTTTATTTTCCTGCATTCAGCTACTCGTCAATAGCTAAAATCTCAAGCGGTTTGTACTTTTTTCCCTCGCTAAAAAGTTCCTTTTCAAAAGCGGTACTTCAGTACCTAATCTCATACATAGGTGCCCAAAGTGTGCTCAGCGCATAAGTCGATTACCTTCAACATTCTTACCTTAGAAAGCAGACAAAATTAACGTTAAACCCTGCACACAATTGCATAGGTTCAAGTTTCCACACTTCACAGTAGTACATAGAGAATAGAATAAAAATGATTACAAGGAAGACAAAGTTGTATGAGAAAATGAACAATTCGAAGACAACGGTTAATGCTAATATTCAAGCTTAAGAAGACATCAAGGAGTGAATATATCTGCGCCATTGTGCCCGATTTTTAGCCATTTCATTCCTATCGTCTCGGAGACCCCAGCCAGATAGTCTACACCTCATTACACGGTTCACACTAAAATTCAAGGACTTCGTGAACTGATGCCACCTCCTCCCAAATTAATCAAATTCCTCTACAATTGCACGTCGATGTAGGTAGTGGCTCAGAATGCGCAACACATGCAAACGACCTCAATCGATGAAGTTCATAACCTCATCGACTGAACTTCCCTTTCTTGCCCAGTACAACGCTGAACACTACATTTCCCACACTATGATTCTACAATACGCGAGCATGCCACTAAAATACGTATGATAAAAAATTACTAACAGATTCATATCGTTTACTTTCAACAGCCATGTATTAGAAAACAAACTGCAGCGCAGTGGTTCTTTAACAGACAGTCGGATATCTTCCCGGGACCACAGCTGACCCAAGTTGGCAAAAGCCAAACGACCCTTCCTTATCCGAATTGAGATTTCGTCAGTATCCATCCCGTCCGAGCTGATGCAACTCCTCAAGTGTAAGTGAAGTGAACGACGTATTCCATCACTAGACTTTCTATCATAAAACTAGGAGTAGTTGCAGACCAGTCCTGAAGCATCATCTTACATTTGATAACGCTCGCGAAACACATGTCAAACATGTTCAGTTTTCTGCTCAACGCGTTCAGAAGACCTTGTATAGCGACAGTGCCTTCGCCTAACACGACACTCGCCTGCATACTTCAAGTCGATCAGATGACCTTCAGGGAGTAGATTAATCCCTGTGAAGACACACGTACCCTAGGTTATGTCCACCAGTACATCTTTAACGAAACTAGATGAGAACCGTGACAGTGGCCATCCCTGGTGGACACCACTAGTTGTCATTAATTACGATGACAACTCTCAATAAGCCCTAACATGGCAGCATGAGTTAGAGTACAGAACTTTGGTTAGCGTTATATGCTTTCTCGTTACTCCCTTCACAGTCAGACTGCCAAAAAACCTCACGGTCGACAGAGACGAATGCCGCCTTCACGTCAAGAAATATGGCAAATTCGGATGGTCCAAAAGATGATTCCTATAGGGAGCTGTCAATTCGCTACAGAAAGAAAACCTTTCGGATATAGTCACAATAGCGGGTGACTTAACCATTCAGAAAGGGAAGCTAAACTAATCAGAAAGACGTCTGAGAGGCATCTGCGCAATGTCATGTTAACGGTGATCGTTTGTTACAACTTTGTTTTGACAATCACTCTTTTCTGGCCAGCACTAACTTCAAACATAAGGGGAGACACCGTCTCGTATGGCGTCCGCCAACATCAAGCCAACGATGGACCCAGATAGATTGCTAAACGACATCGGTGAAAGATGGCTATTTTTTATGGAATACCAGTTTAAAATCCAATCACGCTCTAGTACAGGCTCAAGTATGTTTGCATCTCACTGGCAGCAAACATGCGGTAGTGAAGCCCGTCTCCCTTCGATTGGAAGGTGAGGACGTGAAGTATTCTGGGAAACGACAAGAACCGGCGCCTGACGACTTGGTGAAATGGCTGAAAATCAAGCACAATGACTTGAATGTTTTTACTTACTCTAATTTTTGAATTTTCCCTCCCATTCACCTCTGTCTACCTCGGTGTCAGTCTCATCCACTTTTTTCTATACTACCATGAAATGCGGCAGTTTGAAACTGCAGTTGCGTGCAAGATTCTACGTTGCTTGTACTGTCAGTTTGACACCTTATCCAGACAGCTGTACAACCTACGTGATTGTGATATTGAAACCCGTCCATCACGTCAAAATAGCAGCTTCTTCATCTCTTCCTATGCCTCGACTAGTTGCAGCTAGGATGAGTTCTAACTGATCTGCCTCATCAATTGAGTTCAACAGACATTGTACTGTTAGCTACGGGCTTCAGTGTACAACTCAGGCGTACAGAAAAGTCATTTAGGTGGTCAATAGGGACTAATCAACCAGTGGTCAGATAATGAGGGCCGTATCCTGCTCTTCAGCATAGACCACCTGTTTTTAGCCTGCACTTAATTATATCACGGTTTGAACTTAATCAGCTTACACTGCTGCTCCTTCTGTAACACCTTTTTAAACCATGGTTACGCTTTAGCGCCTCAACAAGCAGTTCAGCTGGTCTACCGCTCCAGCACCACCAACTTCAATGTCTTGTATTCCATGGTCGGTTGACACCTATTTACCTAATGAAGTGAAGTCCGTAAGGGAAGCCAAGTTCTGTAACACCAGAATGTATCTGGCCCACCTCTGCCATTTTAAAGAATGCAAGTGAGACTGTCCTCGGGGAGCGGTCTACATTGTTCTCGAAAGTAAGGCATGCTGATCCGTAAGGAGCAGACCAGATTTCATTCAGGTCATGGGTGAATTGACTGCGCAATAACCATCCACCAGATGCTTGAACACTGTCACACGTATGGAAGGCTACCAATCTTAACATCTCTTTATATTATGGTCGCTTTCGATTTTTTAAACAAGGCTATAGTCTGGAACTGTCTTTTACAGGGGGGGGGGGAGTTTCCGTGAGAAGTTTTTGAAAAAAAGTCCTGAGAACTCTGGTGGAGTAAATTTATACAGACACATATCAACTGTTACAAACAATTAGTGAGATCAGGCAGGGCTACCCGATTTCGCCATTTCTGTTTAAATTTTCTGTCGATGGTATTCTAGATACAGGTTTGCAGGAGATACGTGGTGGTAGTCTAGACCTGCCGAGTGAA